TCTGTACTCAGAACAATTTTCTTTACTAATTTTCAGTCAATAGTCAATTATTGTTTACCCATCTGGGCAGTGGCTGCCCCTTACTTGCTTCAAAAAGTACAATCTGAATTATATAAAGTTTATTTCCTGATACAGAAACATAAATTCTGCAACCTACCCTATACTGATGACCACAATGTGGCAAGAGTTCATCTTGGTCTTCCTAATCTTTCTGATCTCTTAAAATACTTTGATAAATACTTCAACGGTCAAATCTCAAACTACTGGTTAGGTCTCCGCATTCCAACTGCAAGAACCCACAATATATCATGCTTCTTCATCCCTTATTTCTGTCTTTCTCTCTCACAAAGATCTTTTTTTTTTTTCCTTACCAAATAGTATCTCATAAACAACCTGTGGAACCATACCTATATTGTGATTTTAACATTTTTAAAAATAAATGTAAATCTATTTTGTATTATATATACTGTAACTTTTGTTTTTCTATGTTTATAATTTTTATTGTGTCTTTTATACTTTGTTAATATTTTATTAAGGATCTTTTATTTCTTTTTATCAGGGGGAGGAATACAATCAGGTCTGACGTTTCCAAATGTACTAAATAAATAAAATATTTCGTTTTACAAAAAAGCATTACAAAAATGGAATGACATAGGTGGACATGTTGCATGCATTCAACCTGCTTCCACCAACCACGTGACAATTATCATCACAAGATGTTGAATCACTGGTAGATATACAAATAGATATTTAAACACTTTCCTTCCTCCTATTGTAAATGTTTCGACGCCACATAGGAATAAGGAAAGTATTTAAGTATCTGTTTGGTGTTTTGATTTCTAACATATTAAAAATGATGATTTGTTTGTATTTCTTTGCCGTTATCACCATGGCAGTGTTGGACATTGTCCATGCAGCAAATTTCAATGCCAGAGATTGCCTAGCATTAATCATTGATATATTGGGAGTCTGTGCGTGTTTAGGCTGCTACGTAAAGAAAAGAGTAAGCATACACTACTGAGACCAATAATAATAGACGTTCATGACAATAAAAAACATTAATTATAGTGAAAAGTCTAAAACATTTATAAGGAGAAAACATAATTTTATGTAAAAATGTTTGGTAGACAAAATTAATACATAGTAAAAGGAATATGATTTTTAAAAAAGTATCAGCAAACTTTTCTGCTGATACTTTTTTAAATAAGATTTTTTTATTGGAAAAGAAAAAAATTATCATATTTGTAAAATAAGTTTAACTTCCATTTGTTTTTTTGTATAGTAAAAGCATTGATTATCTGGAAATCAATTAACCTAAATCGATTCAGAGAGTATGAATTCCAGAAATTACAAAGTTTTTACATAATAACAATTGTCGGCATGATCTGTACACCAGCTATTGAACTAGCATTATGTTTTATTTATTATAGTACAAATGGAGAAAGCATAATTAATGAGTCACAGGCTTCTAATGCATTAAATCTTACTTTACTATTGTACTGGAATTAAATTAACAGTTTTGCTTTATTTAAAATATTTATCTTTCTATTCTTTCCTTACTAAATGTGAATAGTTATAAAAAAAAAAAAAAAAAAAATTGGTTATCCAAATCTAGGATTAGCATACATTCATACTAAATCACCCAACACATGTTGCTGAGAAAATGTTTATTAAAGAAACATTAACGTTTTCGACCTAATAAAATAGGCCATAGAATTTTTGCGTTTTAGTTTTTCTTTTATGTAGAATTTCCATGCGGAAGCTAGTCCATCCGCATCCCTGGCGTTAATACAACCATCTTTTAATTACATTTTATTTTGGATTTCACTACCGTTTATCCTGCAATTTCAGATTAAGAATAAAAATATGTTAATTTTTATTTTATTACATTATGTAAAATAAAAATAAATATACAAAAAAAATGCCTCTAAGTATAAGGGCAGGTGCAGGCTAAGAATTTTTGCGTTTTAGGTTTTCCTTTTATGTAAAACTTCCATGCGGAAGCTAGTCCATCTGCATCCCTGCCGTTAATACAACCATCTTTTAATTTACTTTTACATAGTTTGATCTTTTCTTCACGCATTGCCAGTGATGGAGAACGCATAGTCCTGAGGATAGTCAATTCATTCCATTTAACCACAGAGTCCTCTGCTTGTGCCATACAGGATAATACTCTGTTGCAGTGCCCTTTGTTAATATCGTATGCTTTCCGCTCGAGCTAAACATGGAAGCCTTAATCCATTCTTTAATTCCTGTTACAGCTGAAAGTAGTGTTTTAGTTAAAGAACTACAATATAACATTCTGGTATTTTTGAAACAAATATAACAAAAAAAGAGATAAAGAATTGAGCATTTCTCTTCTCAAAAATGTGAAGAAAGTAAAAGAGACAGATGAATAATTATGTTTAAGATATATAAAGAATAGGAAGGAAAATACTATGACTTTCAGAGTCATTTTAGAAAATTAATTCTCCTTAATCTTTCCATAATACATTTATCAACAGTCATTTTGACTTTATTTTCACAGCATAATATTTCATTATACATACAAGCATCCATTTTGCTTTGCACATGTAGCAGATATAATAGCTGCTTTATCTTTGCTGCAGTGACCCCTTGCAGCAAATGTTTAGAAATGGTTTGCTACATGATAGCATTTCATTTAGAAATGCTTTGCTGTGCACAAACATTCATTATAACAGTTTTTTAATTTGATAACACTTATCTAAGTGGTGAAACAATTTTCTTATATTTAAAATTGCATTCTGTGCCATAAAAGAAAATGTAAACTGAAACCTTATATTATATATCCCTACATTTACAAAATTGAAAAATATGAATAAATTCCTTTTATTTTGCCTCACTGAGTACTTTCAATGCTAATCTGTTCATATTTTGCCTTAAACTATTATAACAACCATACCAAAACCGTCCTACTCTGATTATTTCAATAACTGATGCTCTACTGTTTTTCTGTCCTCTAGTCTAATGGTATTCAAAATGTGTTCCATGGTACTCTAAGGTTCCACCAGCAATCTTCAAGGGTTTCCAAACAGATATTTGTAAGCACTGGTCTTTTTCTAAATAACTATTGTTGGCAAGAGCATCACCAGCCAATGAGCCGGAGGCAAAATGATATAAATTGGTAGAGGATATGAATTGTATGTAGGTAAAATAAAAACAATTCATAAAGTTTTAATCATTTACTATGTACTGGAAAAGAAATATCTTAATTAAAACATTTTTTTTAAACTTACAAGAAGCCCAAGAAGATTATTTTAATTAAAACTTAACATTTAAATAATTTTTTCAAATTTCTAGGGGAGCAGCTGCCCCCTCCCTTGGCAATGCCCTTAATTGTTGGTATGCATTTATGATGACTAAAGACATTATTTCTTATAGTTCTATTTTAGAAAAAAATATAACAATGTTCAATACTACTAATTATTCATATATCTCCATTTGCACTTCCCTATATTTTTTTCGTTTTGGATTTAGTATCAGTTGCTAAACAGTGCCTCTTTTAGTAACCATGTTTTTATCTTTTGCTTTCAAATTATCATTATTAATGCTTCTCAAAACCTTCCATCAGGGTTTCCCCAGATTTCTTGGTAAAATTTTCTTTGCTTAAATCCTTGAGCAAAGAAAATTTTTTTCAGAGAGCCCTCAACTCTCAGCATCTTTTGCTATAAATTTGTACAACTGACAGAGAAAGGAGTCCATCAGAATATTTTATTAATGGTTAAATAAAAAAANATGCATTATATTTAATTTTTCTTCCATTATTATTTGATATTCAAATTTTGTATTCTAATTTCTTAAATGTTATCAATTTTTGAATTTCATATAATTACATTCTATCCAAGTTCTTACATAATCTAAGAGCAACTATTAAACAGGTTGACACCATTTACAGTAGAGCATTGATTATCCGACCCCTAATTAACCGCACATCGGTTAACCGACCATTCTAGTCAGCAGATTTCAAATGTCCGCTAGTGATGTGGCACTACAATATTTGGCTATGCCTTGGCTACTTTAATATTATTTTTGTTACATTTTTGCATGTTTTAGCTGGCAACACTGGCTCGACCATGAAAGGGAGGCCAGTATTTAAACGATACCTNATGCATTATATTTAATTTTTCTTCCATTATTATTTGATATTCAAATTTTGTATTCTAATTTCTTAAATGTTATCAATTTTTGAATTTCATATAATTACATTCTATCCAAGTTCTTACATAATCTAAGAGCAACTATTAAACAGGTTGACACCATTTACAGCAGAGCATTGATTATCCGACCCCTGATTAACCGTCACATCGGTTAACCGACCATTCTAGTCAGCAGATTTCAAATGTCCGCTAGTGATGTGGCGCTACAATATTTGGCTATGCCTTGGCTACTTTAAGATTATTTTTGTTACATTTTTGCATGTTTTAGCTGGCAACACTGGCTCAACCATGAAAGGGAGGCCAGTATTTAAACGATACCTAATTTTCTAATTATGAATGGTTATTTGTTTTGTGAGCAATAAAATAATTTAAAAATAATTTTTAATTTTTTGTTTGTAAAACATAAAGAAATCATTTTTTAACGATACAATAGCCACGATTATTATTTTAAAAAGTTTATGTTACGCTTAATATCGACGAAAATTCAAAACGATAGAATAGCGACAATTATTATTTAAAAAAAAATTTTGTTAGGCTTAACATTGATGAAAATTCAACGCAAAGTAGGTTAATAGTGATATACTAATATACTAATTACATGGGATATACTAATATACTACACTAATAATGTATTTTTTTCATTCTTTTCAGTTATCTGATTTTTTCAGTTATCCGACCAACCCGAGTCCCCAATTAAGTCAGATAATCGATGCTCTACTGTATTATTATAGTAGACAAGTCTGCTGAATAAAAGTATTTTTTTCTTCTTTAATTCATATTTTTAGAAAAAGTTTATTTGAATTAAATAATTACAATACTTACCCTAAACATTTTGAGACATAAGTCACTTTCATAAATTCATTAGAACTATTTTTCAATATAACCTTTGATCTAATTTTCTATAATTGAAAATTAAGAGTGAAATATTTAAAATTCAGAAAATTGAAATAATATAAAAACTTAAATAAACAGTGAGATAAACTTACATTATATTGACCTTGAATTAAATGAACTATATTTGAAGAATCTTTTAATAATTTTCCTGCATATGATGCTTCAATTTTTGAACTAAGAATGTTATAGAGTGGTATTTTTTGTTCAGGGACAGCAAATATAACATTAATTTTATTTTCGACAAGTATTTTATTAATTTGGCTTAAAGATGGATAATCCTAATTAAAAAATAAAAGAAAAATTGTTGTCATTTTTGACAAGTGATAAAATCATAAAATAATAATAAAATACATAAAATATTTTGTTTTTGGTAAGAATAATACACTTTCAATCTTAAATGTTAAGAGTATTCACTGTAATGTATCATTGTATTGTGATGTAATTGCCATTTAATGCAGTATGACATTTTTATGTTTTTATATAAATTGTGTTCTTTATGTGTGTCCATTCTAACTTTTCTTTGTTCTATTGGAGACTGGTTGATTACTATAACATCACAAATACCTTTAAAATCCAGTCTAACATATAATCAAACAATGAGAAATATATAAACTGACAAACAGTTTTGTCAGTTTATATATTTCTCATCATTTGATTATATGTTGAACTAGATTTTAAAGATATTTGTGATGTTATAGTAAAAAACAGAAGAGGAAAATTGTTTCTTTACCAGCCAAAATTGTTTAAACCAAGAAGTTACAAAATAAAATTTAATTTTCTTTTATTTCATTTTAGTGGATAAAAATAGAACCTTGAAATTTATTTCTCCATTTCCCATATCAGTTTTTGTTTAAACAATTTCAATTTTACATGGAACTACTCCATCATGTAAATAAAGGGTTAAATGTATATTTTAAAATAAAAAAATATAAATTTAATTTTTAAAAGTTGATTATTTCAGTGATTCATTAATATGTAAAATTACAATATATTTGTTAATAGGAGAATATAAATAAATTCAGAATCCTAATCTATAAAATTTATGGACATACAATAATAATGATTTACTTCTGAATTATATTACTAACATATGTGAAATTTGTTAATGTGTACAAATGGTACAGGTAGCCCTTATATAACATGGTAGTTAGATTATAAAAATTTTCCATGTTATACGAATCCATGATAAATGAAAAAAAGGACTAGTGCAAAACACAGGTTCCAAAAATTAACAAAAGTATACTACTCTTTTTCATTACTAAGAGAAATATGTTTATTAAAGCAATCAATAATTTATTTCCAATCAATAATTAGCAATTCCAATTAAAAGTACTATATTATTTGTTAGTATTAATTTTAGTTAAACAAGGACATTATCTTTTTACAAAGTATCATCATCATCTGAGTTTTTTTTGTCGATCTTGATCAGAAATATCAACAAAATTTTCCTTTTTTAATTTTTATCATAAAAATCTTTATGGATGACAAAATAAAAATATGTTATTAATCAAAAATTTGTTCTAGTTGCTTGCATTTGTTCAGCAAAGTACTGAGTAATTTTTTCTGTAATTTGTGTTTGAATACCAACCAAGTTGTTCAATTAAGAGCAGTTTGAGTATCAAGATACTGCTGTATTTCATTTATCATTTATATGAATGGTTACTTACCTACAGTTAAAAAAAGTTTAATAGCACTTACTTAAAAATGTTTAAGTAAACAAAAAATGTACTTACTCGTGCCTCTAACCAGTGTGTAGAAATACAAAAATAAATAATTTTGTAAAAACAAATGTTTTCCGAACACCTTCCGTGTCCTTCTTTTGTATTTCTACACACCGGTTAGAGGAACGAGTAAGTACATTTTTTGTTTATTTTACACCCCGGTGTGCAAGAAGAAGTTATATGTTTAAATAAACTTTTCTAAATATGAAGATTAGTCTATTGTGAAAGGTGTGAAATGTGTTACAAATAAGACGAGGTGAACACCAGTCGAATAGTGTTTATTAATCAAATAGAGGGGACAGAGTCAGTCTGCCTATTATAAAAAACCAAAAATGTATTTACACTAATTCTCCACTCTTACTTGATCTTCCTGCGACAACTGTTTATAACACAATTCAGCTTAAAACTAAAACTATCACTACTTACGAACTAGACAGAGAAAGAAGAATGAAGAATGGTTAGAGAGTATACTGGTAGCTTAGATTGGAGTCCTGATAGAGATAACATGGATGATTATTGCCATATGGATGGTATATGCTTAATCCTTTTACATCCGGGGTAATGATCACCATTATCATTAAATATTGCTGAGGAAGATGTTCTTAGGCTTGGATGGAAGGGCTCACTTACTTAGTTCTGTATGATTATACAACTTAGCTCAATGTCACTGTTCACACATAGTCTACACTGTCTATCTCTGCTTTCCTATCCTTCTAGGCCTCAGAGTCCTGGTCACTTCTCAATCCATTCGGTCTCCCTCATTAGACCTCCTCTCTCATCAGTGACAATCTCAAAACTGGCTCTCCTTAACTCCCGTTCCCCTGGTCCCCCTTGTGCAGGACCCTTTCTTTTCTGTTTGGTATTCTGGCCAATCAGGACCCACAAACAGCAAGACTCGTGTCATGTGACAGGAAAGGGTTGAAGACAGAAGGAAGAAGAATTACAGGAAGGAAGAAATGGAGTTCTATGCTATATACAACTACATACAAAAACAAACATTGCGGACAGCCAAACTATAAAAAAAAACAAAAAACAGTCTTAAAAGCTAAAGTCTGATAGCAACAATGACACCTGATAGGAAAGCTAGGAAGATGAAGAAAAAATTGTACTATCAGTTTTTATTAAAGTAAACCTGACAAAAGGCACAAAACAAATCGAAAATTTCAATATTTTAAAATCTATGGGCAAATCTGAGACAACACATATGCTTATTTGAATATGAAAATATCGAATAATGGAGTTTGCACTTAAAAATTGTGAAATTTTGTATGGAGGATTTCCCAAATTCTTGAACTGTGTTAGAGCAAAACCATGTTGTGTAGGGGATTTCCCCAATGTTTGAACCATGTTAGAATGAAACTGTGTTGTAGAAATGACATGTTGTAAAATAGATATCTATATTAGGTTTTTATTTCACAAAATTATATTATGACAACTCTTAAATATAATCAAACCACATCATTAAGGACTGTCCATGAATTATGTAATGCTATCACTATACTTTTCAATGCTGTCTTTAACTCCTATAATGCTCTGTAATAAAATTGAGCATGTCCATCTTAAAATTTATATGAGGGCAGTTTTTTGTTTTCAATCTCCAATGGTCCATAAAACAAAGACAAGTGTAAATAACAAAATGAATTTATTACCAAAAGTTAGGTACAAACATGGTTACTTTTTGACATAATCACAGTGAAAACTGAGGCATTTTTCATACTGTGGATGAGTTTTGCAATCCCCTTCTTCATAGAATGTTGCTGTCAGTGACTTGAGATGGGCCTTAACGTTGTTTTGAAGATCGTCATTAGTCTTGAACCTCTGCCTTCCTAGCCACATTTTCAGTTCAGGAAAGAGATGGAAGTTGGTTGGTGCTAAAATCGGAAGATGCACACATTAAAAGTGTGTGAAGTCTTCCACCTTTCAGACTTCCATCCAGCTTGAAACTTTTTAAACACCCAGTGTATAGTGATTTAGCACTGACCAACTTTCACCTCTTTTCTGAACTGAAAACATGGCTAGGAGGGCAGGAGACTAAAGATGATATTCAAAACAATGTTTATATGAGATCCTGAGCATGATTAATTAGTTAAATTAATGGATTAAAAATTAATACACAGTTAATTTGTGAAGTGGAAAAAACCCACTTTCTTTTCCCACTACCTGGCTTTTCTAGTGACCTCTGACCAATAAATTAAAGACAATCAAATAACCATGCAACTCGACAATTGTAACAATGTTTTGAATAAGTGTCGAGAATAAACCTAAACATATGGTTATTAATGCGGAGAAACGTCAAAATCAGTTAAATTATGAGGTAAGAGGAGTCACAAACCTTCATAATAACATTTAAAAACTTTGAGTTTGCTGCCTTATATGGTAAAAGTAGTCAGAATGCCTTGGCCATACCAAGGATGGATCATGAACTTAACACTTTGGATACAAAAATAAATCAATCTATTACCCGAGAGTTGAGACCTCAGTATTAAGTGACATTGTTATAATGCATTACACATAAATTCTTGTAATGCATTGTAACAATTACCTGCATACCTATCACATATCAGCATTATATAGTTTATGGACAGCTCTTATTTATAAGAACTTATTATTTTGTTTTAAAGAAGGCACTCTTTTCATTCAGATAATATCAAACAATAATAATAATTAAGGAAAATTTATGTTTTAAATTTAAATAAATTAATAAAATATTTTTAATGTTATTAAATGAGCGATAATTATTCTGTAAATCAGAAAAATCATCTAAGTTATATCATCTTAATTATGGTATGATTATTTCAAATAAAAGTAATTATTTTTCTTACCTGACTTAAGCTTTCTGTATAATAACCATTTTCATCAAGATGGCAACTTTCATCATTAGGAGCTATTATTCCACCTAACTTCATGAAAGAAATAGTAATTTTTGAAATTTAAATATTAAATTTTGATTATCCATAAAAATTGCAAATAAATCATTGTATGTAATGCTTTTTATTCTGTTAATTATATATTTAAACATTTTGCAATAATGGTGCTAGTAGTCTTATCAACAATATGTCTTAAATATCTATCTTTTCATTCTCTCTTTAAGGAAAAACTGTGCCAATAAGGATAAGAGACAATAGCAGCAAAGATATGGGAGCACCGTATTTTCATACATACAAGCTATAACTTATCCATGTCTAAAATGTAATTTTTAGGGGTGTGATTACATGCCAATTTTAAGTTGCATTTACAAATTTCCATTTATGGAGCAATGGTTACTCCATTGTCACAGGGTATATAGTGAAGCAAATTTTACAAAGGTTTTATTTTTGTTCTAATAATTTTCTGTGGAAAAAATGCCATTAAAGATTATAGCATGAAAATATAGTAATATTGAGAACTGATTGGAAATATTAAATGATGATGACTGAACACTCAGTTTGGCTGTATTACTCTATACTCTAATCCAGGTTTCTATATGGGTTTGTGAAAAAAGTGTTGTGATTATGTAAAAAAACTTTTAGACCACAATAACTTGTGAGAAGATAACCCTGTACATGGCTATCTTAATACAGCCAAAATGCATTTAGGAGGGTCAAAAAGAAATGGCTGCTTATTATAACTACAGTGGAAGTCAAAAGTAAGGATCACATGAAATAATACCAAATGTAAACACTAAATGCAGTTTTTTGCATTACTGATGAAAATTTACCAACAGTGACATGTGAAACTATGCAAATAACTAGAACAACACTAATATCAATTATGTTAGTTTTGACTGTTAGACTGGATATAGCTTTTCGGAGAGATTAGTAAAATCAAGTTAGACTCGCGTAACTAGTTATATAACAAAGAACAAAGAGTGCACAAAGATTACACAGTTGTCACTCCCGGAAGGTCAGTGCTCGAAAGGGGAGAGTGAAACGAGGTCACTTTGCCTGAGGGGTCAAGAGCACCACCAACCTTTTATTACGTCAGAACATTACAGAACATTGCGATCGTTGATTCCAACACACCCCCTCAACAATTGATCATTAATACAATCCGATATCGCGAGTAAATTTCTTAACCTTATTCGCATCTAGCGGCTTTGTTAACAAATCAGCTGTCATCCGTTCACTCAAACAATAGATTACAGTAATTTCTCCCGAATTCTTTAAATCACGTACAAAATGGTATTTTGTGTTGATATATTTCGTGCACTGTTGTGCTTTTCCTAATTCTAAAAGTCGAATACAACTTTGATTGTCCTCAAATATTTTGATAGGTGCTGTAATCGGTACATTTATTTCTTCTAGAAGTCGTTTCATCCATACAGTTTCTTAGGTAGCTTCTGCCAAGGCTACGTACTCCGCTTCGATGGATGAAAGTGCTACACACTGTTGCTTTTTACTAACCCAATGAATAGGACTTCCTTTTAGCAAGAGCAAATATCCTGTGTTCGATTTGTGGTCTATACGATCGCCTCCCCAGTCGGCATCTACATAACATTTAAGTTCTAATTCTTCATCAATATTTCCTAATTTAAGTTTCTTCTTTTTTGTCGAATTCAGATAATGAAAGATTCTTTTTACTTCCACCCAATCACTTTCTGAAGGTTTTGTTACTTTTCTCGCTAATATCGATGTACTTATCGCAATATCTGGATGCGAGTTAGTCACTAGATATAATAAAGATCCAATAGCACTTCTGTATACATTGTTGTTTTTGAACGTATCTGGCATTTCATTTCTTCTTAAGTATCCTGTATCCATAGGAATATTAGACGGTCTCGAATCGGATAAGTTAAATTCTCACAATTTATTTTCGATATATCTTTCTTGGTGAAGTGAAAATATTCTGTTCTCGTCTCTTTCAAATTGTATTCCCAGATAATATTTTAAGTCACCTAAATTCTTGATTTTAAACATTTCTTTCATTTCGATCGGTCTCAAATTCGGTTAACGTATGTTCGTCTGTGGCCATTGCTATTACGTCATCTACATGAATTGCTAAATACAAGCATCTTTTATAGCCTCTGGTATAAAGACATTTTTTTCATTTCATTAATTTTATTAAAATAACATAAGTTACATTTTCTGATTTCGCTGAGCATTATCAGGATTTAAAAACACTAATTAATTATGACAATGAATACAGCATATTAATAAACATTAAGAGTAAAATAGTACAATGATGGGAGGACAACAAGGATATTATACAGGCTTAATATATATTTATACAAGTAAAAATTTTATGAAAAAATAAGATAGTGTAAAATATACAGTAACAATTAAAAGTAATGAAGATAAAATAAAATTAGAATCACAACAATTAAGCGCAAGTTAACAAATTATAAAAGAAGCAAACAGCAGAAGTGCAAAGATATCATAGATGATACATATCATATAGAAATGAGTATATATACAAACTATAATATATAATAATAAGACAGTATAGTGTAAAGAAGTAATAATCACTTGCACCAAAGTACTTATGTTTCGGCCACAAGAAAATCCGCTAGTAGTTGAGCAATGGAAGTTGAAAAATGTTCTCAACACCACTGAACTCCGCCAAACTTCTGTACGTAATATTCCGACATAGTAAGAGCCACCAGAAGTTGAAGGATTGTCTTCACGCTGCATCATTTATATTCACTGGAAGTTGAAGAAACTTCGTCCACACCACAATTATTTCAATAGCAAGGAAACCACTAGTTGATCACATCACAGTGGCGCACCAAAATAGAAAACATAATATAATACACAAGTACACCACAAAGCATGGATTGATGTAGAGTTGATGCAGAAAACAGTCCAGTAGAAAAATGTAAGCTCCTTCCAGTTTCAGTAAACTCAAACAATTACAATAAATGTAATAATGTGTATTAAGTTCAAACACGAACTATTGTAGCATGACAAAAATAGTTCGACCAGGTATTACCACAGAGAAACAGTGACAGTACATCAAGTATATCTCCACCAGTAGAATCCACAGAATTACCCAGAGTGTCAGCCATAAGAAAATGTACACAAAGAAGCCAAGTATACTACTTCACAAACTAAAGTCCAGCAAACACAATAACCACCAATATGCTTAAAGTGGTACGGCGTTAACACAGTGTTCAGTCCAATTAGTAGTATACATTCCCACTAGTCACAGTAAAGTCCAGAAGAAAGTGAAAAAGAATTTCTTCTTAAGTGACATTTGTTCTTTTGATGTGCAATTATGACCACAAGGTGCAAGACCAAAAGTGAATAGCCAGGAAACTATCATAATCTACAATCCGCTGCAGTCGAATTTTAAACAAACCACAAGATCCCTAAGTTTAAGTGAGGAGATCACCTCAAACACCAGAAGACTTAAACAAGAATGGGAAAAGCAGCAAAGGATACGAACGAGGAATCAAATTAAGCCTTACCAAGTGTATACTATTAACAACGTGTGAATTTTCTAGTAAAGAACATTAAGAAATTGTTGTAACTCGAAAATACTTTCAAATATCTGAACAAGTAAATTGTAAGTTTCCTTATCCGAAGTAAGGTCTTGAGCATCACACGGCCAAGAACGATTTTTACTGGTTAGAAGAGTGCGTAACTGATGTCTTTCAATCTCAGTCATGGGGCATTCAAAAATATAATGGAAACTACTGTCAATGGTGTTGCAAACAGGACATAGACTGTTATTACGCAAGGTAAAGCGAGCAAGATATGAATTAAAACGGCCATGAGTGGTGTGAAATTGTATAGAATGGTGAGTAACTTCAATCCAAGTGTTCTTCAAAAATTTCAATATATCAGGAAAAAACTGTTTCGTAACTGAGGTGTTGGCATCCCAACTATGCTGCCACTCCACAAGCAAATCGTTCCAAAGGACCTCTTTCAGCATTTTTGTTGAAATCATATTGTAACTGATAGAGATGTTCGGGTCAGCTGCCGCCATTTTAGCAAGTTGATCCGTCCGATCATTGCCGTAGTCATTACAATGTGATCTCGTCCAATTAAAATAATACTCATTATCAGACTCAATCAACAGTCTTTGAATACTAAAGACCAGAGGATGAACAGACTTCCTCCGAATCGTAGAGAGAGAAGATAGTGAATCGGTAATGATTGCAATTTTGGCATTATTGAGAGCCCGTTCACACCACTCGATTGCCTGTAAAATAGCATATAACTCTGCTTGAAAAATGCTACAAAGTGGAACAAACCTAAAACATTATAGTAAATTTCAATATTGTTGTGAAAAGCAACGAAACTGGCACCAACATGACAGTCACACTTCGAACCATCGGTAAAAATTTTAATGGCACAACTAGTAGAAGAGGCTTCAATAAATCTGATGTTAGTGTAGGGGCTAAAAGTATCTTTATAAGGAATATTTTTCTCCCAGCTTTCCTCAGTGAAGGAGTTTGACGTAGAGGTAAGATGATTACCACATTTGACTTTCCAAATTTTTTGTAAGTAGTTAATATTGTATACTGGCACAATGAAGTGACTTTTCTTCAACACTAGGCTTTTCTTCAACACTAGGCTTGCCTAGTGTTGAAGAAAAGTCACTTCATTGTGCCAGTATACAATACATAAATACAACACGGTTTCGACAAAAACAACAGTAGTTAATATATTTATCAATAGGCGGCTTGCGAGCAAGCACTTGCAAACTAGCATTAGCCGTGGTTCTGTATGCTTTGGTTATCATCAACAAAGCTCTACGTTGTGCGGAGATCAATTTGCGTTTTTGATGTACCTTAACTGCGGCAGAGCCCCAAATGCCACACCATAAGTGAGAATGGGTAGAAAAAGGCTATCATATATCATTCCCATAGCCAGACCACTAAGGCCCCACGATGACCTGGCAACCTTGGCAAAAGCGTGCATAATATGCCCTGTGTGTGTAGTAATATAATGAATATGGTTATTCCAGGACAGCCGATGGTCTAATAATATGCCAAGATATTTAAGTTCTTTCACCACTTTTAGACTTTTACCGTTCATCCTAAGAGTTGGAACACGTGCATATAAGTTTCGTTGTCTTGGCTTATTAAAGACAATAGCTTTACTTTTATTAGGATTAAAGCAGAGTTTATTCGTTATGCCCCATTCATATATCATTTTCAATGCACGATTCCCTTTGTATTCCAAATCAGCACGTGACTGCCCACCAAAAAGAACGAAAACATCATCCGCATAGGCAATCATGGCATCCTGCCCAAAGTCCTGGCAAAGAAATCTATCAAAAAGTAAAATCCAAAGTAAAGGTCCGCAAACAGAGCCTTGTGGGCACCCTCTCAAGACTTTACGTTGGAAAGAAAGATGGCCCACAGAAAAAGTTGCAATTCTGTTTTCGAGATAGTCTTTAATAAGTTGGTATATGTTGCTGGGGCATTGTAAGGTCCTAAGTTGATGAAGGACCAATGGCCACCAAGCAGAGTCGAACGCTTTACTAATGTCAAGACTCAGGCCTAAAACATATTTGTTGTTTTCTAATAGGCTCCGAATTTTTCCAACAACCATTTCAATCGCATCAGTAGTAGACTTCTGATGCCTAAAGCCGTATTGAAAGTTATTGAGTTTACCTAAGGATTCCAGGTGCCAAGAGAGGCGGTTAGTTAT